CAGAAACATAAAATCATCATAGATCAGTTATATACCATGATATACAATTCTCACACTCTCGTTAACACCAGAAAAAATTAAAACATAATACAAGCTTAATTAATCCAACTATAAAAACACAGATAAAGAAGACAATATAGAACTCCAAATGTAGGCAACCAATAACTTAAGAATAAGCTAGGGCTCATGTTTATTTAATATTAATTATTATTAAATTTATATTTTTAATTAAGTCAAGTAAACATCAAGGCATAAGATAGCTTGTATGTAAAAAAATTGAAGTATAAATGATAATAAGTAAATACATAGGAATTGAAGTCTTTGTATGTAAATCTTCCTATTAACTAATAGTAATTCCTCACGTCAAAACTAAACCTCGTTATCAATGTTTGATCAAAGCATTTAATTAGAAAATAAGGCCACTACAATACACTTATTTGCAATAAAATTTATTAGGAAGACACTCCAGCTAAAATTGTTATGTATAATTTATACTCCGAAGACGTAAAGCTAGATTTAAAAATTTATAAAGTTTAGCCCTTTAGAAATATTACGTTTGGAGTCTGGACGTAAGCTACATTCGGACAACGGCTGCGATCCACCTGAGGTTATTTTTTTTCCCTCTTTCACTCCTTTCGGTAGATCACAGCCGTTGTCCGGACATAGATACTGGACGTAATATACTTTTCTTAGTTTGTGCCTCAACCTTGCTTAACAGACATATAGCTTGAAGTTTCACTTTGAATCACTCACTCAAACCATAATCCATTGCATTCACATCTTTCTAATTCTCTCTTGAATCTTCCTATTCAGAAGTATCCTATTAGTCTATTTAAGGTCTAAGTATTGCTCTACACATTATGAAGAAAGGGTCCTTGAGCAGTTAATGATATTTAGGCAAGGAAAGCAGCATTCAATGAATAGTTAAACTAAATATGTTTGTTAATCTAGTGGCTAGAACTCAATGCAAAAATAATGATATTGGAAATATATAAAGAATTCTATCATCGATTATAGAATGGACATCAAGTATGAGATTGAGTTACAATGCCATGAAACTCTTATGAATCTATTCCATTATACTTCATATTGAAAGCCAAAGAATGTTTTCTTTTCATCTTTAAGACTATATTATAATTCCTTATCATTTTTACCTAAAATTTTGCTATTAATCCTAATTGTTTATATGTTATTGTCTCTAGCACTAAAGTCATTATTAAATTTACTTTTATGAATAATAAGGGTATCACTTAATTCAAAAAACAATGCAAAGTTCATTTTTTTTTAAATGATCATGATTAAGAGAATAAAGATATTGAGGAGGTTATTGGTTATCCACCCTTTTTTTATGATGATTTAGAAAATATGTCTGAGAACATCATCATTATGATGAAATTTCTTGATGTAGGAAAGAATAACTTTGAAGATTATGATAGAAGAAATACCTTCAACATAGAATAACTTTGAAGATTATGATAGAAGAAATACCTTCAACATGTATATTAAATGTAAGATAAAAAGATATATGTTTGTGATTGAAGAAGATAGTTCTATGAATGTCACATCTACCCAAGTATTAATAAAGGTAAACCTAAATACTAAACCTTGTTTAAAGCCATTTCAAATGAGATGAGCGGGCCATACAACAATCCCCATCACTAGTAGATGTATCATGCCAAAAGAAGAAAAAAAAAAAAACTTTTAAGACAATGTTTATCTAGTGTGGCACTTCCTATAAATATAACCCATATAATCTTTGGTAGATATTGAAAATGTAATATAAATATCATTCACTATAATATAAAGAATACTTGTGAATATAAATTTAATGATATGAATATTGAAATATATTTTGTTAAATTATTTGATTAGGTTAAACCAACCTCATCAAATCTCACATCAAGCTTATAATCCATACATTCACATTAGACACGTTACAAACATTCAATGATTAAGACTATAAATCTACTACTTTCAAGCACAAATATATTATTGTATAGCTAGTTTATTGTTGTACTCTTTATAGATCCAAGCATTATCCTTGAAAGTATTTGGTTGATGGGTTTCTTTAGGAATAAATCTCCTATATATCTTGTATAAAAATAAATGAAGCATCATGTAATGCATGAATAGTTTTTATAAGGATTCCAAGACTTCATGGGCTGTGCATTACCATGATACAATATATTGATGCCATGCTCATTTCCTACATTTGAATAGTTTATGAATTATTATAAAATACCTCATAATATGGCTAACCTCTATAAATATATATTTTAATATTCTACTTTTATTTCAATTTTCTTAAACTTATATGATAATATTGAAAAATAAATTAAATAAAATAATATTAACTAAGCTAATTCCATGAATGAGATTATATCTATAAAAGAATAAGATGAAATTGATTTTTAATAATTGAATCATATTAGGTAAAAAGACCTCACAAGTCTAAATGTTTTATTGAAGAACACATTGTCCATTTAAAAGTCTTAAATAAATTAGAATCACTCTATATTTGATTAAATTACCACAAAACTATATATATATATATATATATATATATATATATATTTAATTTCTTCACAATCCATATACTTGTTGTAAAAGGGAAGGATGCTTTCTTAATTTTGAACTCTTCACCATAAAAACTTTGTATAGTTTTTATAAATTTACTTTTGAAAGTTTAACAATTAGTTTAATTAACTTAATTCTTTTAACTGAATCTTATTTAGCACTCACTCAATTACTTTAGATTCAAATTTCGTACTTCACTTTTGTAGTTTAAAGTTGTAGTTTACATTATAATCATAAGAGTTTAAGTTTAGTAAGTTTACTTTTGAAAATTTAGCAATTAGTTTAATTAACTTAGTTCTTTTAACTGCATTTTATTTAGCACTCACTCAATTACTTTAGCGGGACACCAACTAAAGATCCTAACTTAAACCTTGCTAGTTTTTTAGAATTGTGTGCTATATAATGGAGTGTCGAATGATGCAGTCAAAATTAGTCTGTTTCTTTTTCATGAAGGGTTAAAGCTAAGATGTGGTTGAACTCGTTGTCATCTAGATTTATCAAAACCTGGGGAGACTTATCACAAAAATTTTTATCTAAATATTCCCACCTTAAAAAATTGTTAAGGTTAAAAATGATATTACATCTTTTTGTCAATTTGAAGGGCAATCAATTTATGAAGATTAGAAAAGATTAAAGATCTCCTTAGGAAGTGTCCACACCATTCGTTCCCATATTGATTAATAATTCAAACTTTTTATAATGGAATTGTTGGATTTCTTAGATCAGTAATTGACACTGCTGCTAGTGGATCATTAATGTCAAAACCATTCGATGAAGCATATTCTTTAACTGAAGAGATGGCTACTAATAATTTTCAACGGCCCTCAGAAAGGGTAAGACCATAAAGAGTAGCTACTATTCATGATTTTGATGCAATATCTATATTACATGCCCAAATAGCTGTTATAGCTAAGAAGATAGATCAATATGGAATGAATTATTCTCATACATCACTTGTGCTTAAGGAAAATTTATTGGGACAAAAAATATAATCTAAATCTTCTTATGAGACTTTAAATGCAAAAAATAATCATTCTAATAATCATTATGCCAATTATTATAATCCTTGTTGGAAGAATCATCAAAATTTTAGTTAGACTAACAATAACTCTAATGCTACAAATTTGTAATGGGGAAAAAATGCTGCGAACCCATTGGGAAAATCCAACAATCAAGGAAATCCAACTTATAAACCTTATTACCCTCCAGGTTTTAATAACTCGCAGAGTAAGGAGAAGAAATTTTTAATGAAAGAATTAATATTACAAATGGGAAACCAATTACAAAGTCAAGGAGCTACAATTAGAAACATGAAAAATCAATTGGGATGTATTGCTACTACACTTAGCAATAGAACTCCAAAGACGTTGACTAATAATATTGAAGTAAATCCTTTCGTTCTGCCGTCGCCGAGGGAAGCTTGCTCTGCTATGCCTCCGCTGAAGGCATCTTGCTCCGACCTTGGTAAGAAATCCCGATCTTCCCTCCTCTCATTCATCTCTTCTTCCCTCTTAAATCTTTCCCTGAGAATCTCACCCCCAATTTTTAGGTTTGCCCTCACTGATTCCGTTCGGCCTGCTCTTTCTTGTCGGCGAGCTCCTTCTTTGACATTCTCGGAAGGTAAAACTTATTCCTTGCCCATTTATTCCTTTTCTTCGCATTAAGAATTTTTTCATTTGCAAGGATAGGTAGATGAACGGACATGTGATAAAATATTCTTATATTTTCATCTAATTTTATGTAATTCCTCCTTGTAAATAAAATGAGGATGTTACTCATGTTTTATTTTGTAATATTGGCATATATATGGGTTCATGGATATTAGAGATCACCTCTTATTCTATAAAGATGTACTCATAATCATGCTTTTTATTGTTTGTTGTTGATACGAGGGGGATTATCATTACTGCAATTTGCACTAAAGTGTGATAGCTTTATGGTGGTTATCATGTTGCTATTCTACCTATTTTACTTGTGTTGTTGGTGTTCTCAATTCATTCTTTCTATTTTAGAATTTGACGTCTCTAGATTAGTAAAATTAAAATAAGATTATTATTCTTCCTTAACTTCCATCTATTGTTTTGTGATTTTAAATCAAAGCTTTTTTTGGCCTGTTCATTTTCTATAATTCGTGGTTTCTATTCATAAGCATTCTAGAACTTCTCTAAGGGATTTCTTTGTCCTAATACAAAACAAATGATTATGATTTTCTTTGTCCTAAATGAAAATTTTATTTGTATTCTATTCCTAAATTGATGGGCGAGTAAGAGAGTTAACGGTTAAGTATTTCTTTGTCCTAATACAAAACAAATGTAACTCATGTTTTATTTTGTAATAATGGCATATAGAAAATTTTCTTAGAATACTACATAAGGGTAAATTCATTTTTTTCTTATTTTAACCTTTCACTAGTAAGTATCACAATGAACAAGGGCAAAGAAGTTGGATCATCTGCTATGTGGGACAGGGAAGCAACAAATATTTTTTGTGATCTCTGTCTTAAGGAGGTGGAGCTAGGAAATAGACATACGACAAATTTTAACAAAGAAGGTTGGAATCATGTTTCTGTCAAATTCAAAGAACTCACATGCAGATACTACGACAGGATGAAATTTAAAAATAAATGGGATCAACTAAAGAAGGATTGGAAAATTTGGAAGGAACTTAAGAGGGGAACTACATGTTTGGGTTGGGATCCATTAAAACGAACGATATATGCTCCTGAGGAGTGGTGGGCTGAGAAACTACATGTAAAGACTTATTCTATATCATCTCCTTATTTCAATTTGAGTTACATTGAAATGAATGTACTAATTAACTTCCCTTCATCATGCAGGTCGTGCCAGCAGCTAAGAAATTTAAAATGAATGGTATTTATCCAATAATGGAAGAGATGCTGGATGGTATGTTCAAAGGGGTTGTTGCAACTGGAGCACATGCTTTCACCCCATCTGAAAATGAGTTTATTGGCACAACTAATGCACCTGTAACTGATAATATAAGTGGCTCAGGAGAAGTACCTTGTCAAATCCATAGGTCAGCTGATGAAAGGCTTGCTGAATCCTCATCCATTCCAAAACGACCTAGGGTTGAGAAAAAAAAGAAAGGAGCGGCATTCATCAGAAGCACAATCGAAAAGCTCGTGCTCTGTTAAGCTTTATGGATCACAGGATGTATCCGTTGAGGGGTGTCTTCGAATCCTAAATACACATACTGAGGTGAAGACAAATAGAAAATTTTATCTCAACTGTGTTAAGTTACTACAAGATCCAATCCGTAGAGAATTTTTTGTGAAGTTGGAGGCAGAATATCAAGTCGATTTCTTACGTTCCTTCATGGAGAACTGAATGTTTAGAAAGCTTGTCGTTTCATTATCTTAAAACTGTTTGTATTGTTGTAACGTGGATTGCAATTTATTTTCCTAGCACTTCTTTTATTTCACTCTTTATATTTAGCTGAATATTTTTTCTCATAACTTATTGTACCGATTGTACTGGTTGTACGGTTGCATTTATATGGCTTTAAATGTTTGAAGGGTTTA